ATACGACACAGGAAAACACATGAATTTTAAACGTAAGGAGAAGAAAATATGAGGTTAGTAAACCTGAGGTCTGATTTCCTCCAAACTTCCTATAGATTGACCCATTCCATATGGACTCCATATGAATCTTGGTGAACCACTCCTTTGTTTCGAATGGCATTGTAGTAATTTACCCTACATGAATTCATTTCTCCACAACTCTAACATATTACTTTGTTTTGGAGCTTCTTTCCCTTCTAGGCAGAGCTTCAGCCATATATTACTTTGCTCTTTGCCAACGTCATTCTTTGTCTGTGTGTTGTTGTTGGTTGTGTGCATACCGGTCATGCAGAGGCCGGTGCACTCATTGTGTTTGTATTCCCTTGATGCTACATTTTGAGTCAATAAAGCCACCTTTGGCCCCCAAAAAAAGGTTCATTATTTTATGACATATCAATTTCTTAATAATTTGTACAAATAGATAATTAAATTCCTAGTCTCCTTCATCTTCAATCGAATTACGGTTCATCTCCATCCCTATTTGGAATAAGATGAACACCATTGACATGGGGCATGCACATTTTCTATTTTGCACAGGCCATACCGCCTCCAATATAGGTTTCTGAATGAAAAAATGTTGTTGGACATACCAAACACGGTGATTGACCCCCCTCTCACCCCACCCCATTTGATTGGACCCTACTGCTTGCATGCGTGTGGTCACCATGGAGATTCAGTAGAGGCTTCCCCACGATCGTCTATGGCGAGAGCTGTCGTGCATGCGTGTTTCATCCTCGGCTCGCGTGGGGCATCCGGAGCTACTAATGTTTAGAAAATGTCGGGCATGCTTGGCTCGTCGTGAGTCATGCCACCGATGTTGTCGCGTATCTAGAGGTCCAGATCTGGCCTAGCGGAGGCGTCTCCGGTCATCCTCATGTCACATCATTGCTCTCTCCTTCCAGATGGTGGAGTTGGCTTCCTATTGTTTGCATGGTGGAGGTCGAGGCAGTTCCAAGTGAAAACTCAATTATGGCCTCCATCGGAACCAACTGCACTGATGCTTGCGAGCGTTATTCCCCTCCTAGGATGCACTGCTATGGAACATATGCGCTAGCTTGGCGGCGCTCTGGGTTACTGCTTTCGGGTCCCTCTTGCCTAGTTTGAGCTTGGAAACTTTTGTACCTGCATGATCTTATTCCCTTGTCTCATTGTGTGTGTGTGTGTGTGTGTGTGTGTCGATCTAGGCTAATTCTCAATGACCGCGACACCCTGGGGTGTTGTCTCCCCTTTGAGGCATCGCATTGGACCACCATTAGGATAAATTGCTCATAATTATCCAAGTTTTGCACATTACCACATCATTCTTACGCCTTTTTCTTTTAATTTGCATGTTGCAATGAAGGAGCAGAAATTACTTGGAAGTTGCTGAAAAGGGACAAAACAAGGACCAGTGGAGAATATATTTTCCTGGAGCCAAAACTAATCAGTAATAATAATAATATTGTCAATTTCAGATGGAAAGAGAGCCAAGGGTGGACCAAAGCCGAGGAGGGTCCTGTGGGGGCCGCTGAAGGAAATAGGCCCTAGAGGCAATAATAAAGTTATTATTTATTTCCTTATATCATGATAAATGTTTATTATTCATGCTAGAATTGTATTAATCGGAAACTTAGTACATGTGTGAATACATAGACAAACATAGTGTCCCTAGTATGTCTCTACTTTACTAGCTCGTTAATCAAAGATGGTTATGTTTCCTAACCATAGACATGTGTTGTCATTTGATGAACAGGATCACATCATTAGGAGAATGATGTGATGGACAAGATCCATCCGTTAGCTTAGCATTATGATCGTTACAATTTCATTGCTACTGCTTTCTTCATGACTTATACATGTTCCTCAGACTATGAGATTATGCAACTCCTGAATACCGGAGGAACACCTTGTGTGCTATCAAACGTCACAACGTAACTGGGTGATTATAAAGATGCTCTACAGGTGTCTCCGAAGGTTTTTGTTGGGTTGGCATAGATCGAGATTAGGATTTGTCACTCCGTGTTTCGGAGAGGTATCTCTGGGCCCTCTTGGTAATGCTCATCACTATAAGCCTTGCAAGCAATGTGACTAATGAGTTAGTTGCGGGATGAAGCATTACAGAACGAGTAAAGAGACTCGCCGGTAACGAGATTGAACTAGGTATGATTATACCGACGATCGAATCTCGGGCAAGTAACATACCGATGACAAAGGGAACAACGTATGTTGTTATGCGGTTTGACCGATAAAGGTCTTCGTAGAATATGTAGGAGCCAATATGAGCATCCAGGTTATGCTATTGGTTATTGATAGGAGATGTGTCTCGATCATGTTTACATAGTTCTCGAACCCGTAGGGTTCGCACGCTTAACGTTCAATGACAACTTGTATTATGAGTTATGTGTTTTCGATGACCGAAGTTTGTTTGGAATCCTGAATGAGATCACGGACATGACGAGGAGTCTTGACATGGTCGAGACATAAAGATTGATATATTGGACTATGTTATTCGGACACCGGAAGAGTTCCGGGTGGTTTCGGGTAAAAACGGAGTGCCGGAGGGGTTACCGGACCCCCCGGGGAAGCAATGGGCTAACATGGGCCATAGGGGAGAGAGAGGACAGCCCACATAGGGGAGGCGCCCCCCCCATGGGGAGTCCGAATAGGACAAGGGAAGGGGGCGCGGCCCCCTTTCCCTTTGCCTCTCCCTCCCCCTTCCTTCCACTCTTCCACCAGGTGGAATCCTACTAGGACTTGGAGTAGGACTCCCTTCTCCTGGCGCGCCTTGCAAGGGCCGGCCGGCCTCCCCCTCTCCTCCTTTATATACGGGGCAATGGGGCACCCCAAAGCACATCAAGTTCTCTTAACCGTGTAGGGTGCCCCCTCCATAGTTACACACCTCGGCCATAGCGTCGTAGTGCTTAGGCGAAGCCCTGCGCCTGTAACATCATCAACACCGTCGACACGCCGTCGTGCTGACGGAACTCTCCCTCGTCCTCAACTGGATCAAGAGTTCGAGGGACGTCATCGGGCTGAATGTGTGCTGAACGCGGAGGTGCCGTACGTTCGGTGCTTGGATTGGTTGGATCGTGAAGACGTTCGACTACATCAACCGTGTTGCTAAACGCTTCCGCTTTCGATCCAAGAGGGTATGTGGACACACTCTCCCCTCTCGTTGCTATGCATCTCCTAGATAGATCTTGCGTGATCGTAGGAATTTTTTTGAATTACTACGTTCCCCAACAGTGGCATCCGAGCCAGGTTTATGCGCAGATGTTTTATGCATGAGTAGAACACAAAGAGTTGTGGGCGATAATAGTCATACGGCTTACCACCAACGTCTTACTTTGATTCGGCGGTATTGTTGGAT